TATGGGAGCCCTCCCACCATCCAGCTCCTCAGGGCATGAGTCCATCATGTATACCTCAACACTGTCTTGGAAAGAAGCAAGAAAAACAAAAAAAATCTGAGCATCCCTGGAAGACACTCACCCATCCAAAAGAGGCTACTGAATCCCAAAAGAACTGAATATCAGCTCATTATGGGAGTAATTCTATAATTTGGGTTCCTCGATAGACAAAAATGACTGACAACACTACCTCCCTGAAAGCCGTAACAACACTGAAAACACTTTTGGTTTGTTCTGGTTAGTGTCATTTGGTACCTTAGGCTCGGTGGTGGGAACCTGGAGACTCTGGAGCTTGCAAAGGGCCATGGGAGAATTTGAGCAGATGAAATCTGTGTGGTGCTCCTTGTGACAACTGCACAGCAGGTTCTGCATAAGCCTTGGGGTTTATGCAGAACCTGCTGTGCAGTTGTCCCACATGCTACCATCATCCCTTTTAGAGGAGCTGTAATTTAACAAAGCTGCATGGCCACAAGACAGTGCTCTGCATGTTAGTGCATGTCCATATTTCACATGCATGTTATTATGTGTGGCCTGTACACTACATTCGACATCCTGGAGTCCATCACAGGATCATTTGGTTAAAAAAATAATAATAATAATGACTTAAAAAGAGACTGTGTATAGAGCTAAAAACTTTTAGGAAAGACAAGTAAACAGAATGCAGAATCTGATGTCCAGGGGTGAAAATTTCCCAGTAGATTCTTTTATGCCTTTATAAAAATCTGGTTTACAAGCCCCTTTATTGTGATTTAAATTGCTCAGTCTAATATTTGGTTAAACTTGCTAGTTCCATCAGGCTCCTGGCTTGCGAATAAAAGGAACATACAAGAACCAAGAACTATGATTTTTATTAAAAACATATGAGAAAAAAGTTTATTATTATAAGATTTGCATCAAACATTTTTGATGTAGTATTCTGATTTGTATCAGGAGTTGATATACTTTTTAGATATTTTAAATTATTATTCACTCTTTCAATGCATTTTACCATTTCTTTGTTAAAAAACAGTGAATTTTATATTATATCCTATCTGGGATATTGCAGAGTCCAAATAATCAGCGGTCCCATATTATAAGGAAACATTTAGTATCTGATGGCCATATCTAAGCAGGTTTTTCCTAATCTAATCATTTTAAACTTTGTTTTGCTAAAACCTATAGTAGTAACTTGTACTAGTAATTGTACTTTCACAATTGAGAAATAAATATCTTAATGCTGAGAATAGGTTCTAAAATGCTCAGTGATTAACTATTGGGAGCATTAGACAAAATCTTTTCTGGCTCCTAATTAAAGAAATCTTATTCGCACTGTCACTGATGAGGTAACTTGTTACATTATAATCCATGATTTTTAGGACCTGCTAAATGAATAGAGTGGTCATAGTCTCTGAGAATGATTATTTATGAAAGCATTTTGAGAAACAAAAAAGGACAAAAATGTGTGTATGATTCTTCCTAGTCAATTTCAAATACCTCTGGCAAGACCAAGCATCTCACCACCACTGCCTGCACTTACGGATCACGTGACTAAAGAGAAGCCGGTATCAAGAGTTGGAAAAAAAGCATCTGAAATGCTACTGAGCCAGCTTGATGAAGTCTCACCTAGAGGAACAATAACTATAAAAACAGAAGGCTATTTCCATAAGCAAAATGTAGAATGGAAGTCCAGCATGGCTTACTATAAGACAGTGTTTTGTTTTTGTTTTTTAATTTTCGCATGGATAAATTTGAAGTACAATGTTTAGGAGATTTTTGAAAGAAAAAAACGAAGTCAATATTATAGCATATATCTTAGACAACAGTCATATTTCGGCAATCTTAATTTTGTATGAGAAATATTAGGTAACATAATTTTAGGAAATACCAATTTAATATTGATGAAAAAAACTGGCCAATATGAATGGTCCAATCCAATTTTTAAAAATTTTACATTTTCATGTAATGACATCGATTTTCTTGAGCAGGTATACAAATAAATGAATGTGTCTGTGTTTTACTTCTTAAAATAGGTCAGTTTTGAGAAATCATATATCTAGGCATTTGAGGATGATAACTTTTTAGCAATTTATGTTCCTTTTGTGTGAACATTTTGTTAAATGTATTATGTGGAACCCAATCTCAGACTTCAGAATGAGAATAAGAAAAGAACCAAACTAGAGATTTCAACAATTAACTCTGAGAGGATGAAGCCCTATGTTGAGTGATGATAGTAACTCGTCGCTATCTCTACAATAGATAGTAGGTGCTGTTTCTATTCGGGAACTCCCAGGAAACACTGACAAACGATGACAAAGATGTGGTGACACTCTCAGGACACAGTTTCCTCTCTACTTTGGCTCTGTGTGTCCTTGGAAATGCCAGGACTGCCCCCAACTTCTCTACTCACCCCTCTCATAGACCTCATTCTATTTATTACAAAGTCTTTCCTAATACATATTTCATTATTTCTCATAAATTAATAAACAAAATAAATATATATATAGAATGTATAAGTAAAAAATAAATACACAAAATAGAAAACATGAAATGAGCAATAAAGTCTAATTAATATTTGCTGTGTGTTGAATCAGTAAATTACTTTAAAATCATAAAATATCTTTCATTTTACCTTATTTAACTTTCAGGATTTATATAGTGGCTCAAATTTATGCACACACATACATCAGAAGTTATATATAGACTATTCTCTTACCAACTTTAATGCATCAAGTAGCTGCAGTGATCAGCCATTATATATAAAATGTTTAGTGGAAGCTGTAAAGTCTGAGACATTTTCTAATTCTTATGAAAAATTCTGGGAGTTCAATGACTTCTGGGCAAAATAAGAAACTAGAAAGGTAAGACAGATCAACTAAATCTCCAAATACCATAATATAGAACAAGGACATTTTAACTATATAATCAGTTAGTCTAACATAATTTTCATCACTAGATCATACAAAGAATTTTCAAAAAAGGTGAAACAATTGTATATGAAGAATCATCATCATGAGTATAATCATCCACATTTTATACCATCTACATTTTACATAATAATAATCTAAACTTCAATGAACTAACCTCTTCTTTACAAAGACAATGGAAATGTCAGGAAAGACTCCGGGCTACTGGCATTTAATAAGAAATACAGATAATCCTTCAGAAGAAATATTGATACATTGTGTTATCTGAATCATGCTTTAGAAATTGGTATAAAATCAGGTGGTAATATCCAGGAATATTTAGTGAAATGCACATCGTATGTAATCAGAGTAGCAACAGTCATAAAAAAAAAAACACTCATCAGGGAGCATGGCATAAGGAATGCAGTTAGCATTAGTGTATTGGCTAGGTGTAGAGCTAGAGGAGAAAAAGAACAATTAGGGGGATCATTTTATAAACTGTATAAATTTCTAACCAATGTACTGTATACTTGAAACTAATAAAATTTAAAAAAATAAATTAAAAAAAAAACAAACACTCATCAGTTGACTGCCACTCTCTTAATAAAGTAATTTAAATTCGCAGAGAGTGGTCCAAATCCAAAAACTAAGCTTTGTACTTACTATTTTATAATGACTACTTATCAAATTCTGAGAAATTAATTTTTTTAATTAAGTATAATGGAAATAAGTTAACCTTAAACTTTGGGATTTTTCTCTCTAATGTTTATAAATTTTGCAGTGTCATCTGGAGGGCCTAAATCATAAAGATACTCTGTACTTGAAATTAGAAACACAATACGAGCCCCTGAGGCTTCTTTAAACTAATTAAATACGGTGCTTATTTGGTTTTTACAATTGTTGGGCAACCACTGGAAAATTGAGATGTTAAGCTGATAGAGTAACCACCAGACCAAAAATAGTTAATTTGATAATTTAATTATTAATTGAAATATGACTTCAATGAGAAGAGATTTTTACTGGGATGCTAAAAACGATCACAAATGATACTTTGAGGAGTAAATGTTTGGCCATAAAATATTCCTTCAAGGTAAAAGGCCCAAAAGTGGACAATTAATGAAATGCTCTTACCTTAAGTTCACAGAATTTCTTCACTTGTTCTTAATCTTGCCTACCAATCTATGTGACTACTTACTAGGTTCCCCATTTTATTTTTAAGGACACAGAAAAATTCAAGCTACTCTTAAACTCTGATCTTAGAAATACTGAATAAGGAGAGAAAAACAGTCATTTCCATAGTAATATCTCTAGAATTTACAACAGTAAATTTACATGGGACACAGTTAATTTTAAATTTTACTTTCTGAATTAATCTTTCATTAAAAAAGTAATCGATCCCTTAAAAAAGTAGTGAAACAATTGAGTTTTAAGTGTATATAACCTCTCTTTAATTATAGAAAAAGTAATTTACGCAATGACACCCAGTAGCATGAATGGATTAATATATCTCCAAAAAGTAAGCCATCAGCCCCCTTCCTATTGGTAGGAAGGGAATCTTTATTCTCAACAGGAGCCTTTGCCTGGTCTCCTCCCAGGCCATGTTCTGGAATGGAGCCATTTTCCTATCATGTTCCATGGCAGCCTCACATCTCATAGATGCCATCAGTGGCTTATTTAGTTTTTCCCTGGTGGCTGTGAGACTGGCTCATTCATCTGTCGTTTTAGTTATTCATGGCCAGTACACTTGAACAGTCACCCCTCTATAGGCTGCTCTAAAACTAAATAGGGAAGATAAAATTGGAAATCACCTCGACTCCAATAACTCCCTTCTGATTTAAATCTCATTTATGATCATTTGCTGACAATCAGTAGGGAACAAAGATATCAAAACAATAAAAACTGATAATAAACAAGAAGAAAGCTAGCAAATAATAATATGATGAACCTGCTTTCTTCAATTTCACAGAACTCAACATAATTAATTTTTGAGCTATAAGAATGAATATTAACTGAGAATGAAAACAATTCTCTCTGAGAGAGAATCATGCTGGATTAACAAGAAAACAGTAGCAGACTCACCATCTCTGCGATTAAGACTTGCAAACCCAGGGCCATGGCTACTGGACAGCTCTGAAGAGCTGCTGATGGACGTGCGAGGCAAGGCAGATGCCAGTGGAGCATCACAGTTATCTGTGGGGAATATCCCATGTTCAGGTTAACAAAAGGCTTAAAGCTTTCCCGTCTTCTCTTCCTCTCTTCCTCCTTCCCTTGTTCCTTTCCATCCACCTGCCCTTCCTTTTTTTTTTTTTTTTTTCAGTTAACATGTCAGGAAAATTCTAGAACCTGTAGCAAACACCAGTTTTGAGCAGAGGTATGCTAGTAAATGTTTAACAACAGGCTCTTAAAAATAAAAACCCACATTGATAGTATTTGCCACTTTCCACTGTGTAAATATTCCTACCATGGCAATTCAAATCTATCAACATGACATCAACTGACCACAGAGTTGAAAAGAGATGTGTACACATCACATCATTATACAGTATTTCCACCATGCAGATACAAGGTATGTAAATAATCTCAACGGCATAGATAATAGGAAGATGTCATAAAATAAAGTAGTAAGTGATGAGTTTTGAGAATTTATTTTTGTTTTAAATATAATTTATTTAATTATAAGCTTTTATAATTTAAATTTTAATAATGGCTGTATTTTAATAATTTGTTTGCAAATTACACAAAAAGTTAATGATTGGCTCTGACTAGCTGGTAAAACTTGATTCCAGCACACTGCTCTTCAATGGGGAAATATTAAAACTATTTCTTTTAAAATCAGGAAGAATACTTTAATAGGCATCACAACTTCTGTTGAATATTGCACTGAAAGTGTTATCAGTACATAAGAAAAAATTTACCACTTAATGCACAGGAAGAAAAGCAACTATCATCGTTTCCAGATGAGGAAATAGGCAGAAAATCCAAAAGTAATTGGCTAGCTTAATAGCTCAATATCTAAAAACTGATTATATTTAAACTCTAATCATAGTTTGAAAATAAATTAAATCGAATAGCAAATAGTAACAACACATATAAAGTATCTAAGAATGAATCTTATGAAATTGTACAAGACGTTTATGGGGATTATTATAAAAATTATATTGAAAGACATTAAAGAAAACTGTGTAAATGAAGACTATAATAATTGCAAATAGGAAGACTCATTTTTTTAAGGTATCAGATTTCTCTAGTTTGATATAAAGATTCATTAGAAATCCAATCAAAATCACAGGAGAGTTTTTCATAGAAATGTGAAGCAGTGAACCACATGGCTCAGGGGTCCTTAACATGGGGTCAGATATTTTTATAGCAATCATTATTTTCACAGATATCTAGAAATAGTGTTTATGTTCCTCATTACTTCAAAATAACAGTATTTATTAAACTCACCACTAGATTTTATTATTTGATGTACTAATAACTAAGGAGACTTTTAGAATTGATTTTCTTTGTAATCTTATATACACATTTTAAGCATTTACAAGCATTGCTCAGAGAAGGGCTCAGAGGCCTCAGCAAAGTGCCAAAGGGGTCTGGTTGGCACAAGAAAGAGCTAAGAAGCCCTTCTGGTAGTGTGAGCACCACAAGTATAAAGCTGTTGAGTTATTTCTGGGGGATTATTAGCATAGAATGTGAATTCAGATGAAACTGAAAGTTTTAATACAATTAATTGACTGGTAAATATTTTCTGGTTTAATCCACTGAGGTGTAGTTCTATTATAGCATTGTTGTTTAATTGAATGTTTACCTAAAATTATTGAAATTTAAATAGTAATAGTTCACTGAAAACAGGTCTCTGCCAAAAAATTTCCATAAAACAATCATTTTATTTAATTGCTCATGTTTACTCAAAAGTATTAGCCACTACTGTTATAAGAATGGAAAATCCAATTATTTTAGGAAGAGTGTGTGTGTATGTGTCTGTGTGTGAGTCTGTGAGGTGTGTACATATATATGCTGAGTAAATTCAAAATGAGATTACTGTTGAATGAAGCAGTGGATTCTCAGATTTCTCATTAGATACATTTATAAAAATGAAATATCTATTTGGTATTATTTTCAAAAGGTGCAACTAATCATTTCTTTAAAAAAATTTACCTGAAAAGGGTGTTTTTCTCTATTCCTCTATTAACCTTCTAAGCTATGCTGTTGTATAACACTCATGTCAAAAAGAACGTGAAATGTTTTAATTCAGCAGTAAGTGTAAATTAAAAATTCACAAGATGTGTTGAATTATGCCAAGTCTGGATATTGCCTGAATTATACTATGTAAGCATTATATAAGACTACAGAACTTAAAATTAATCTATAAAAGATTCAAATCTGCTAACCTCTAGGGCACTCCAGATTTTTACAGAAAAATGCATGATAAAATCCAATATTTCATTCTATTTAAAAATACGAAAAATATCTAAATATTTTAATCACTTATAGAAAAAATGTTTCCTTCAGTAATTTATTAACAATTATAATTATTGAAACTTCTAAGTATACTAGCAAGATGTCTAGAACATGAACTAAGCTGCATCACCCAAACCCACCCAGCAGTGCTATGAATTGTTCTTCAGTTATCACAAGTAAGCTCCCCTAGGCCAATAACAGTCCATAGAAAAGTAGATAACGTGAAACACACTTAAATGATTCCATTCATTCATTCTAAAATATAAATACTTCTTTTTTTGTTTAACAAAGAAAATTCAGATAGAAGAATAATAAATGAATAAACATGCGATCATATTAAAACTTGAAACAGAAAACATGACTTTTTCTCAAGAGGAAAGTCAGTTTTATAATTCTGAACAGCATGTAAAATATCAGATTTAATTTATTTTCTGCTGACCATGCTTCTGTTTTTAATGCTATAGTTAATTTCTAAATAATGTCTAAGGTTAAATTTTACTCATTTCCCAAAATACATCAGCAAGATTTTATTTTCCCTCTTCATCCTCTCTACTTATGTATTTGGTGGTTTAAATAATAGTTTGACTGTAAGTTTCTGGTTAAAAAGTCATTTTCCCTCAGAACTTATATTTATTTCTGCCTCTCATTTTGCTTCTGATATTACTGCTCTGCTGAAATCAAACTAGCTCTTTTTCTTTAATAGCAAATCAGTTTACATAATTATCTTTGATGATCTAAAATGTGACCATGTTTCTAAGTGTGCTTTATTATTATTATTATTATTAATTATTAATTTTCCATTTATCTAACTCAGCACAACATGAGTTTTATAATAGAAACACATTATTCCTTTTCAGTTCTGAGAAATGTTCTTCTATTATTTTTATGTTACTACTTCTTTGAAATTTATTGAAACTAGCTTTTTGGTAAAGCAAAAAAGTAAATATTCTATATGTAGTTGAAAAACCCATGTAATATTGTCAAATTGTTTATATACATATGTATATCTCAAAGCTATAAATACTTTACTCAAACCTCTATATCTTTATCACTTCATTTTATTTTATGCTTCTTATTTATCTATTTTACCAAATGATTTTTTTCCTTCTCCTCTCTTCTCGCTTTCTTTTAAATAGATTGAAATCAACCCTTCACCACCCCCATTCCATTTTTTTCTTCTACTGACTTGGAATGTATACATCCAATTACTATTCTTTTATTGTTCTTCCTTAAAATTTTACGCTGCATTCTCTCTCAGAACTAACTTTAAGAGTTCATGTCTCTGATTTTGTTTATTTGTTATTCCTACCTCAGGCTGCTTTTAACATCTTTCGATTCTTATGTTCTACAGTTCCAATGTAAAGTGTTGTTGTGGGTGGGAATTCTTTAAAATTTGTATTACTAGGGATTTGGGAGGCTTCCTGAATTTAAAGATTGGTGACTCTTCAATTCTGGGCAATTCCCACAGATTAACACTTAAGTAGTTCTTCTTCCCACATTCTCACACTACCAAAACTCAAATCGGATACATAGATCTTGTCTCTATCTTCACTCTGATCCTGGCTTTCATGTTTTCCGTATCTTTGTCTCTCTCTGTTGTTATTTAATTCAAATATGTGTTGTTATTTAATTCAAATACGTCTTCTAATGTGCCGAGTCTCTCTTCATCTATGTCTCATGTGCTGTTTCAGCATCCATTGAATTCTTTATTTCCTTTTTTTTTTCTTGATACTGTTCTTTTTCAATTCTACTAGATAATTTTGATAGTTTCTTATTTTTTTTATCTTTTACTTCTTTACACAAATAAAACAAAATTTATATTCTAAATCTATTTCAGCATCTACGTTTATTATGGTCTGATTCTATAGTTTGTTATTTATGCTGGTTCTCTCTCATGGTAGCTTATTTTCTCATGCATTTTATGTTTTAAATTTTATTGTGAGCATGTGTTTCCAGGAAATAGATCTGTAAGCCTAGATGACTGCAGAAGGAATACACATTCAACAGGAAGACAAGACATGGAGAGAATATGCTGGATGTAGAGGGTGGGGTAAGTAAAAGTCGTGGTGTAAGAATGCTAGTGTAGCTAGGTGGTGTGGTTTAGGGTTAGTTAAAGGAAGGGATGGGAGCAGTGAGTGAATAGAAGGTAACTTGAAAGGAATAAAGGATTGAGTGTGTGTGGGGGGCGGGGGGAGGGTATAAGATGTGAGGCAAGATATAAAAAGCTTTACCCAGGAAAGTAAGATCATTGGGTAAGTGATCTTTAGAACGATTACTCTGGCAGCAGGATAGCAAATTGATCAGAAAGAGATGCACTAGAGACAAGGAAATGATGAAGACAGTAAGTAACAACCAGGGATAGGAAGAGTTTGATAAAGTTGGTGATGGGGTAACTGAAAAAAAGGAACAAGAACTAATTCAAGAGACAGAGCTAAACCTAATCTTTCAGAATAAAATAGTAATGCTCTCTCTCCAAGGCCCCACACCCATGTTCTTATATGCATTCTAATTGAGATAGCATCCCAAATTATCTAAAATATGTTCAATTTATAGACTAACACTAACTTAATAATCATAAATGCTAGAGAATCCATACTGATGGCCAGATACTGTGTATTCTAGAAGATTTCAGGAAAAAAAAAAAAAAAAAACAGCTAGACAACAAGAGGTATATGCTTCAGGGATATATTGTCTTGATCAGGAGAGTCCTTCTCAGCTAGTGGAAAA